TGAAGTGTCTTTGTCTGGTTTAGGTATCAGGGTGATGTTGGCCTCGTAGAATGAATTTGGAAGTTCTCCCTCTTTTTCTATTTCCTGAAGTAGCTTGAAAAGTATTGGTATTAGTTCCTCTTTAAACATTTTGTAAAACTCTGCTGTATACCCATCCGGTCCTGGGCTTTTCTTAGTTGGTAGTCTTTTGATGGTTTCTTCTATTTCCTCAATTGATATTGGTCTGTTTAGGTTGTCTATATCCTCCTGACTCAATCTGGGCAGATCATATGACTTAAGAAATTTATCTATGCCTTCACTATCTTCTAATTTATTGGAGTATAAGGATTCAAAATAATTTTTGATTATCTTCTGTATTTCTGAAGTGTCTGTTGTGATATTGCCTCTTTCATCCCGTATGTTAGTAATTTGAGTTCTCTCTCTTCTTCTCTTCGCTAGCATGGCTAAGGGTCTGTCGATTTTGTTTATTTTTTCAAAGAACCAACTTTTAGCGATACCAGACTTCAAACTATACTACAGAGCAATAGTAACAAAAACAGCATGGTACTGGTACCAAAACAGGCGGGTGGACCAATGGTACAGAATAGAGGACACAGAAACCAATCCACAAAACTACAACTACCTTATATTTGATAAAGGGGCTAAAAGCATGCAATGGAGGAAGGATAGCATCTTCAACAAATGGTGCTGGGAAAACTGGAAATCCATATGCAACAAAATGAAACTGAATCCCTTTCTCTCGCCATGCACAAAAGTTAATTCAAAATGGATCAAGGAGCTTGATATCAAATCAGAGACTCTGCGTCTGATAGAAGAAAAAGTTGGCTACGATCTACATACTGTGGGGTCGGGCTCCAAATTCCTCAATAGGACACCCATAGCACAAAAGTTAATAACTAGAATCAACAAATGGGACTTACTCAAACTAAAAAGTTTTTTCTCAGCAAAAGATACAATAAGAGAGGTAAATAGAGAGCCTACATCCTGGGAACAAATCTTTACTCCTCACACTTCAGATAGAGCCCTAATATCCAGAGTATACAAAGAACTCAAAAAATTAGACAATAAGAGAACAAACAACCCAATCAACAAATGGGCCAAGGACCTGAACAGACACTTCTCAGAGGAGGACATACAATCAATCAACAAGTACATGAAAAAATGCTCACCATCTCTAGCAGTCAGAGAAATGAAAATCAAAACCACCCTAAGATACCATCTCACTCCAGTTAGATTGGCAGCCATTATGAAGTCAAACAACAACAAGTGCTGGCGAGGATGTGGGGAAAAGGGTACACTTGTACATTGCTGGTGGGACTGCAAATTGGTGCAGCCAATTTGGAAAGCAGTATGGAGATTTCTTGGAAAGCTGGGAATGGAGCCACCATTTGACCCAGCTATTCTCCTTCTCGGTCTATTCCCTAAAGACCTAAAAAGAGCATGCTACAGGGACACTGCTACAACGATGTTCATAGCAGCACAATTCACAATAGCTAGACTGTGGAACCAACCTAGATGCCCTTCAATAGACGAATGGATAAAAAAAATGTGGCATTTATACACAATGGAGTATTACTCTGCATTAAAAAATGACAAAATCATAGAATTTACAGGGAAATGGATGGCATTAGAGCAGATTATGCTAAGTGAAGCTAGCCAATCCCTAAAAAACAAATGCCAAATGTCTTCTTTGATATAAGGAGAGTAACTAAGAACAGAGTAGGGTCGAAGAACATGAGAAGAAGATTAACATTAAACAGGGATGAGAGGTGGGAGGGAAAGGGAGAGAGAAGGGAAAATGCATGGAAATGGAAGGAGACCCTCAGAGTTATACAAAAGTACATACAAGAGGAAGTGAGGGGAAGGGGAAAAATAATATAAGGGGGACAAACGAATGTCAGTAGAGGGGGCAGAGAGAGAAGAGGGGAGGGGAGGGGGGATAGTAGAGGATAGGAAAGGCAGCAGAATACAACAGATACTAGTATGGCAATATGTAAATCAATGGATGTGTAACTGATGTGATTCTGCAATCTGTATATGGGGTAAAAATGGGAGCTCATAACCCACTTGAATCAAATTGTGAAATATGATATATCAAGAACTATGTAAGGTTTTGAACAGCCAACAATAAAAAAATTAAAAAAAAAAAAAAAGCCAGCCTCAGCAACTTAGCAAAGCCCTAAGCAATTTAGCTAAACCCTGTCTCAAAATAAAATATAAAAGGGGCTGGGGATGTGGCTCAGTGGTTAAGCACCCTGAGTTCAATTCCCAGTACGGGAGGGAGGGAGGGAGGGAGGGAGGGAGGGAAGGAAGGAAGGAAGGAAGGAAGGGAGGGAGGGAGGGAAGAAAGAAAGAGAAGAAAGAAAGAGAAGAAATTATGAGAAAAAGAATAATATAGGAGTAAATATCCACTAACATATAATACTATTTCCATCTAAAATAATCTAGAAAATCAAAGTCTGTATTGAAAAATAAGTAGTGTGTCCAATGGGTTACTCCAGGTGAACTGAGTCAGCTGTTTATAATTTTAATTTTTTTCATAAAATTAATAAAGGAAATTGGCATTAATTCTTAAATATTAAGATAACTGGGAATGACTGATACAATATTAACTTAAATCTTACTTTCTCAGACTCCTTGACTAACATAATTAAGCACTTAAATATGATTTCTACTGCCAGCATTCTATAGTTAAAAGTCACTCAATTAATTATCCATTGATGTTAATTTTATCAACTTACAAAATATAGAAATAATCTATTTGGGAAGACTGTTTCAAAGGCTAGAAATGGAGCACTGAACATATATACCCAACCATGTTTACCATTAGGACATGATATGTACCAAGTATATTCATAGTTGTTAGAATTTAATTCCTTAGTAGCAGTTAATGTTTACTGACTCCTCTGTGGATTTAGATACTTATATCCAAATATTCACATCTCTGGATTTATATAAATAATCAGTGCCAATTATCTTTGAAATTACCGACAAAAATTCATTTAAAAAAATCATTTGATAACACCAGTTCCCTGATTTTTAACCCTTATTCTGGTCTTGATCACTCATTACAAAATCCATTCATTTTATCTATTGTTGATGCAAATTCCTTGATTATAATTCTCTATCACCTCAATAAACTATCTGTCCTGATAATTGCAAAGTTAGCAAAGTAAAGTATAGAAAACTTAAAAGTATAGAAAACTTAGGAAAAGCTAAAAAGGCATAGAAACCTGGGGAAGTTCCTCAGTTCTGTATATTGCTTAGCAGCAGTGCAACAAATGAGCAACTACAGACAGTAATTGTCTTAAACTAGGTCAATACAACAGCCCAAACACTTTGTAAACACTTTATTTGGCTCTTTCTGGAGATTAACACCGTTCTAATTAAATGCTGTAGCACAGAAGAGCTTAAGAACAACAAAAGTGGTCAACAATAGTTATTTATCTAACATCCTTTATCCAAGAATCTTAAAAATTAACCTAATTCTAATCAAACTCAGTAACTGGGAAAGGTAAGTACTAATGCAAACTGTAAAGGCCAAGAAGAGAAATTAGAAATGTGTTTCTGGGGGCTGGGGATGTGGCTCAAGCAGTAGCGCGCTCGCCTGGCATGTGTGCGGCCTGGGTTCGATCCTCAGCACCACATACAAACAAAGATGTTGTGTCCGCCGAGAACTAAAATAAATAAATATTAAAAAAAAAAAAGAAATGTGTTTCTGAATATCTCTGTGAGCTAGATTCTGCAATCATCTAGTTCTGAGTATATAAATGAAGTATTATTTGCCTTCAACAAACCTAAATTAGGCATAATAACACAGTATTAAAAGCATAATACTTCTTACTATATTTCATTTGTGTTTGTATTTATATTTTACTGATATTTGATTTACTGAAATTTGATTTTTAAAATACTGCAGTCAATTATCCGATCCAATTATTTAACACTGTGAAATTCAAATTTACAAAAGATTTCTTATTTTGAATATTTTATCTTAATATTGTAAGTCTACAGTAGCACACACCAATCATTTTACTTATCTTTCCATTTGAAGGCAATGGTTTATGATAAACTATATATACCATCTTCCTTATGACCTACAGTAGACTGTGAGATGGACACGGAGCGAAGGTACAGTCTGTAGCCATGAAATCATTTTGTGCATGAGTAATGTTAACAAACTTATAAAAAGATAAGACACACCCTTAGCCTCATTACCACCATCATCCAACTATGCTAACTTGTTCAAACTCTTAAATGAGATAATGATAACTGAAGGAAAAAGAACAAAAAGGTTGTACTTCACCATCTTAAGGTTTCACAGGGAGGATGATGCAGGTTTATAATTCAATTCCTACATCCTAAAAAGTGACTTTTCAAGTCATAAAAGTATAGTAATCTGGAATTTTTATAATATAAAGGCTTAATAACCAATTACTACAACTGATATTCATTGTGAGGAATACATAGCTATATGAAATACAGCTTACACTCACAATAGAATTTAGCGAGGTAACCTTTTAAACATTTTTACAGGAAGAAAAATGCTAGAGATTCTTATCAGTAGTTACTAACTAGGTAAATGCTGAAGATCTGCATTCTTAAGATTACTGAAGAGGAATTCAATTTTATCTTTGCTCAAATGTCTGTTAGGCTTATTAAAGATAAGATGGATGTATGAACCACCAGTAGTGTATTAAACCCAATCACTTTCAAGACAGGTTAGATATAGAGGTATCGAGATTTCGCGAATTTGGTTCATTGACAGTAAAAATGGAATTTAAAAAGAAAGACTGCATACAGTCTGCTGGCATTTTATACTAACCATTAACAGAGGTAGTAATGTAAAGTGTTGGAATTTAAAATACAAGGTCAGCATTAACTGTAAACAATTTGAAAGTATAAGTAACTCTTCAAAATAAGTAGTAAATAAAGAATCTGTCAGTATACTGATAAAGAATTAAAATTCATGTAAAATCAGAATTAAAAAAGCAAAAAAAATAGAAATATTTAGTGAATTTACTCAAATGAAGAAAGTTTACATGATACAGAAATGAAAAATATTAGAAATCTATATACAATAAAAAGTGAATATAAATTAGCCAACTCCATGAACATTTCCAGTTAAACATTAATACAAATACATATTCACCTTTTTCTTTACAGAGATAACACATACGTACATGACATGAACATTCTGGCCAAAAAAAAAAAAAAAAAAATCAGAGCTTCTAAAAACATTCTCAAGTTTCAAAACTAGTATGGAAAATGTTTCAACAACAGCATTCTACATGAATGTAAACCCCTGATTTAATTAATTTCATGATTTTTATCATGCCAGAACTATGGTTGTTTTTAATTTTTTTTTTTTGTACTGGGTATTGAACTCAGGAGTACTTTGTCATTGAGTTATATCTCCAGCCCTTTTTAATTACATATTTTGAGACAAGGTCTTCCAAAGTTGCTGAGGCTGGCTTTAAACTTGTGATCCTCTTGCCTCAGCTTTCCAAGTGGCTGGGATTACGGGCATGTACCCACCATGCCTGGTGGGTTTTTTTATTTTTAAAAAACAGATATTGGTATCATAACACATTGGCTTATTAATAATTAAGGCATTTATATACACAGTATCTCAGTGTGGACAAAACATTTTTAATATTGATTATTTACTATGATGTTTTAAACTTTGAAATTTATTCAACATAAGAAAATAGCTGCACACATTCAAGTGTTTTTTTTATAAAACACAATAAAAAACTAATAATGATTGGTCTTTGTGGTTCCTAGTAATAAGTCCTGCCTTATTTTTTCACATAGTATAAATTATATTCTTATGCAGGACTGCATTAAGACCAGTAGTTCTTAAACAATGTTACCAGATAACCACATAAATCCCAAATGCAGCAAAGGCGAACAATCTTTGTAGTGCACTTTCACCTCATTGAAGTTGAAGCTGCTCCGTTTGGATATTTTTCCACTTCAATGTGAAGTAGATTGTTAGGTTTTCATTAGTGGTTTCATTATGTGGCTTTTTAAAAGAAAAAATGGTTTCAGTTTCTTCCACAGTTCATAGTTCTCAGAAGAGACTTATTTTTGGAAATCATATAATCCAGGATGTTTTGAATAACCAAATGCTCTTTAGTAGACGAAATATCTCAATGCAACTGTAATAAATAAGCATCTACATCCTTAGAGGATAAAACAAAAACATTTCATTAGCCAGCATGGTAAATACAAATATATAAAACCCATTTTCTCTTCACTTTTGTTGATTGATTTGCCTTAGTTTCTCTTTGTGGCCTGTAGAAGTTACAAGTCAAGTCTTATTTGATATTTTTATATGCACTTGTTTAGCACAGGGCCTGGCACACAGCACACATTCAAGAAATGCCAGTTAAGTGCTGAGTGAATGTTTTGGTTCCTATGCTCAGACCACTCTGCTTTTGTGGTTAAAACTGATAGGAATTTGACCAGCGCTATGTAAACTCAAGGGCTAGAGCTTGATGATAGCCCTCTGTTTTCTACCTCCAAAAACTTACAAATTAATTGAAGGTTTAATTTGGTTTATTATTGGCCTTTTAATATACTAGCCATATTTCACTCAACAGTCTTCAATAATAAGCATAATACCTTGAGACTATGTTCACTATAAAACTTTTCCTATTGTAAAAAATTAAAATTTAAAGCAAATTTTTAAAGAAAGGATCATTTTTTTCAGTTGTACTGTCTAAAATGCAAGGCTTTCTAACAGAAGTGGATATGTATATTCTTTTTGAAACAACAAAACTAAATTGATTTGTTTGTATTATCATTAAGAATTCTATAAAGTAAAATCACACAATGTGATAACACATTTGCTTAATGTCATTTTTTTTTCTGTTTCTGAATGTATCCAAGAAGAATCCATGATATAAATTCTCTTATTTAGACTGTTTTCTTAAACCAATGAATACATTTATAATTTTGGTTAATGCTCACTTATGATAGTAGTATGCCCCCAAACAATGTTTCTTTACAATAATTTCTTCTGTAATATAATTACCAATGATTTATGGAATTTAAATACTGAAATACAAACTGGCAACATACCTTTTCCTTTAAGAGACAAATCAATAAAGATCAATGTCAAATTCATTCTGTGAATTAAACCATTCACTTTTTTCAAAAAGGATGATATAAAAGCAAAGTAAAAATGAACAGTCCAAAACCATTTAATTGTACTCTTCATCTTTTATTTCCTGAGTGTCATTGTCTTTGGTTTGATGTTGTCTTTATCTGAATTTTTAACTTTTTTCAAATATTGCTGTCTGATTGGAACTAGATTATTAAATGCTGTCTGGCACAACATTTCTATGGTTATTTATGAAACATATTCAATGGCTAATTCCTGTTCTTACTGCCTAGGTCACTCATACATCCAGAGGACTTTAAGTATTTGCATATATGAGATTGATTTCAGAACTTCTTAGAATAGTACCAAATTACTTTACCTGAAGATCTGAATAGTTTGTTTATAAATGTACAACAGTATATTTTTAATGTCTAACATTAAACTTAAATATAGATTACCTTAGCTATATTACCAGTATATCCTGGAACCAAAGTAAGATGGTTTTCTTGTTCCCACAAGCCACTTAATTGTTGTTTTAAAATCTGAATATTTCTAGGAGGAAAAAAAAGAAGAGAAACAAATAGTGGGATATGAACTTTGACAGTAAACACAATCCAATGAAAAAAATTTTTAATGTTCAATTTTTACAAGGAGAAAACTACATTATTTAAAGTCAAGTAACTATTTAAAATAGGACATGTCAATCACAGAAATTCAAGGTTATTTAGCAGTCCAAGTAGATAAGAAAACAACTAAGAATTTACAGAACTTGGACAATCTGTTCTTGGGTATGAAATGGGAAATTTTGAGAGCTTATAGTGAAAATTATGGGTGTTAAGGAAATTAGGAAATTTTTGCAGCTTCATGACAATCTGGCTCATTTAGTCAATACCAACACATTTTTACAGTAAGGCAATACTCAAATTATGATTATAATACAGTTTTTACAATTGTAATCAACATCAGACTCCCAGGTTAATGTCTAAATAACCAAAGAACCCTGCAGAATTCCTCCATTCCTTATTCCCCTCCCCTACTCACAGAATGGATATGGGGGTTAAGCCACTGTTGTGCTTTTTCTTTCTAAAATGAAGGGTAGGTTCTGCTAGGAGGGATATAGGGGATTACTGGGCTCTGGAATTTAATTTCCATGTGTGATTTTCACAAATGAACAGTGTTAATATTTCTTTGAAAATGAAGAGAATAAATATTATACACTGATGATCATGGGATAAAATTACCACCTTGTTTAAAGTTGCTTTCCTGAAGAAAACTTAGCAAAAAATTATCTTTTTGTTATTTGTAGTGTTGGGGATTGAACCCAGGATGAATTTATCTTCAAAGTCATACTCACCCATCACTTATAATTTCTGTTTTGGATGATAGTTCTGACCACCACCTTTTTATTACAGCTTGAAGCCAGTTTAAACCAACTATCACATATCTGAAATGACATTATATTACAAAATTCGAGTGTTTTCATCCAAGAAGCCTTTATAAAGATGATACTGTCCCCCCAAACACACATACAAACTGACCTTGCCCCTTTTAAAAATTTTCAGTACTTTTATGTCATATTTCATAAAACTATATTTTATGTAACTTGTTTATAGAAGCTTCTATAATTGTTCTTCAGTCATTTCACATTCTTTTCCTAATTTACTATACGCTCCTTGAAAACAGAAACCATGGATAGTCCATGGAGCCAAATCAACTACTATGTACTCACAACACACAAAATCAAGGATGTTGAAAGAGAAAACTGAATTAAAATTTAGATTAGCACTTACTCTTCAAATTTGCTTTTAAGTAATGACTTTACAAGAGGCAATAAGTCTACACAGCAGCCAAGTGAGATATATTGTTTTTCTTCCTGTAAACTAAAAGAAATCCTTAAGTTATGAAATTATAAATAGGCCACAAGTTGCCCTTCTTTAAGCTTACATTACTTTTTTTTCCTAAAAAATACTAATTTTACCTATTAGTGAGTACAGGCAGGCAATCTACCACAACTCCAAGATCTTCTATCCTGGGGGTACAAAAAGGATAGCATTGCTTAGAGAGCCAAATTCCTTATTTACTTTCATATTATAATCATCATACTGGCTTTTAGAAATTCATTAACAAATAATCCCAGTGTCTATGATGAGTCAGATATTGAAATACAGCAGAAAACAAAGAGATAGGACTTGCATTCCACTTCTGTGTGTGTGTGGGAGGTAGGGGTGGGCTTGCAGAGATAATAAACAAACAAGTAGAATACACAAAGTTAGGTTGATGATAATAAATGCTATGGAGAAAAATAAAACAAGGAAGGAGACAGGGAATTAAGAAATAACTATTTTTAAATAAGATAATTGAGGAAGTCCTCAAAAAGGTAACATTTGAGAGACCTGAATAAAATGAAGGTAATATACAGAAGGTTTTCTGTATTCTGATTACTCTTAGACTGGTGATGAATGTAATTTAAACCATACTGTCTCTATGGAAACTAAACATAGAAGTTTTTAGCTGATAAAAGCATAAAAAAACAAGAGGCATTTCTAATATCACATTGAAAATTACTTGTACTGAACTAAGAGCATAAAGGGCACACTTACCTCACCAAATAAGCTACAAGTTCACTTATACTTCTCTTTCTCCAGAAAGTTAAAGCTACATTCAGTCTCAAATTCCTGCTAAACAAAACTTGGGCCATTGTTTCATGATCCTGAGAAACCTGAAAGGCAATAATCTAGTTTGTTAAAAAGCACACTGAAACATGATATTAAACTATTTTTTTCAATGGAAACAGTCTACTGACATAGTTTTAAATTATGCAAAGGTGACTCCTTATACTGGGCTCAAAAAGGAATACTGCAGTTGAACATAGTAAACAAATGATGTGAACAAATATAAAATCTTTTTTTTTCTTGCTACCATTTTTCTTTTAAAACCCAATAATTTATATGACAAATTACTTTTAGCAATTTATAAGTGTGAATAAAAGGAAAAGGTAAACATAGGCTAGACATTAACAACTGAATGGTATAAGAAAGAAACGAAAAAAATTTAGTTCTGTGACAAGCAATATAATATCATTTAAATGTGTCTACTTCTATATAATAAGGCAATACAATTATATTGTGAGAAGTTTAAAACAGAGCTAAATAAGATCAAAACTGGATACTCTCTACTGGCCTACAAAAACATTCAGTTTCATTCCCCAGAAATAATCACAGCTAATAGACTGGCATGTATCTTTCCAAACCATATTCTGACAAATAGGTACATATGATTATACTCTGAAAAAATAAAATAAAAAAAATCTACATTTTTTAAAGCCTTGCTTTTTCACTTATAATATATGAACAATTTCAACATCAAAACATAGATTGACCTCATTTTTAATAGCAAATTCTCCAGTCTTTATATATCATGGTTTGTTTAGATTGATTTGGTTTTTACTATGTATCAGTGAACATCCTGATGTATGTAAATATGTGCACTTTTATTATGATTAATTTTATAATTAGAACAGCTAGCAGGTTTGCCTGAATAAAACATCTACTAGGCAATTCTGAGAGCTCAGCAAACTGTGCCTAGATAATGGGCTTTGGTGATCCACTTTTTAGGCAAGATTTGTCTTTTTCCTTTAGTTTACACCTCTATTGGCCAACCTGTCATTCTGGATATTTACAGCAGCTTGTCAAGCATTTCACTAAATCTTATATATTGCTAGATTAGAGAAATGGAAGAAATCATTGATTCAAATTTGGTTAATCTAGAAAATTATCTGAGGGAATTACTATCACTCAAATAAGCCTGTATTCAATGGGTGGTAAATTATTATGATAGAAGAATAAGCCAAACAAATAGCCAATAATATCACAGGAATAAAACTAAACATGATTTAGAAAAATTTCTTACCTCGGAAAAAAACCCACTGTATTTAGATGATGGGCTTTCTGTCTGTGAAGTACCAGAGTCACTGGAGTTAACCAAATATGTTCGACTATCATGGTGTAATTTTTCAGGTAGGTGGCCTGCACAAGCCAGTTCATTTTCTTTATTTGCCATGTCACAGCCCCCACTTATAGGGGACTGTTTTTTTCTGTAACAAGGATTTGGAAAAGGATGCTGAACTTTCTTTCTGCGATAGATCACCTTTCGTAGTTTATCTGGGCTTTTCACAGCTTGTCCAACTGTTCTGTAATAAGAATTTGTTTTCTTAAGTGAAAAAAAATATAAAAACTTTTTAAGTTTTTAAACAGAGAGATTTAATAGGCCATGTTTTGTGACTGTATTCTAATAAAATTAGAAGTAATTAGAATTAAAAAAGTGTTAACTATTAGTTATAGAGGAAAATAAAAAAGAAGTTACAAATTACCTGGAAAACAATGAAAATAAAGACCAGATGAAAATAAAGACATAACTAGATACTTTTAAAATGAAATAGTAAAAGGCCATTTGGGAAAAAGAAAATTACAACTTTTTTGAGATATCTACTCTTTCTCTGACAAAGTGATAAACTGCCAGTTTGAATATTTTTAACATAATTTTGATAAAGGAGAAGTATATTTAATTTGAGTATGACTGAACACAACAGAGCAAACCTTACATACTGTAGTCCTCGAATGTTTGGGTATCAGGATGCCTTGCACTCTTAAAAATTTTCAGGGCTTAAAAGAATTTTTTATGTGGGTAATATGTACTAATATTTATGGTATTAGAAACTAAAACTGGGAAAATTTGATTCATTTTAAAAATAATAGACTTATTACATATTGTTATGGTATGACTCTTAAAAGTCCCTCAGAGGCCCAGATACTAAAGGTTTGGTCAATAGGCTGTGGTGCTATTAGAAAGACGTAGAATCTTTACAAGGTGGAGGAGCCTGGTAGAAGAAAGGTCATTTGGAGAATGCCCTTGAAAGTGATATTGGGATCCTGGGTCCTTTCTCGCTTTTTCCCTTCCTATCTGCAACAAGACAAACAGTTACTTTTGCTACATGCTTCCCACCACGATGTACTGCTTTGCCACAGACCCAAAGGCAACAGGGCCAAATGACCATAACCTCTGAAATGGGAAGCCAAAACAAATCTCTCCACCTTATACCTTTTTTATTTCAGGTGTTTTTGCTGACCAACATTCATACTAACAGAATATTTTACCAACCCTTCTCCCTAAGCAAACCAAAACAACTATTTTATAAATCAAAAAACAAGTGACAACAATGTTTTACGTTTTTGCAAATCTTTAATATTTGGTTTAAGAGGAGACAGCTGTATTCTCATTTCTGCTTCTGTATTTAGTCTCTTATGATATCAAATGTCATGTCACCTCTAGAAAACTATCATACCATTTTCAGGAGAGTGAATATAAAGAAAAATATGTTTTAGTATTGTTATAAAAATAGTTTTGACCTCACAAAGTCTCTGAAATGGCTTCAAGATCCCTAGGTTCTTGGATAACACTTTAAAAACCAGTGCTTTTGTAGAAAGGTCATTTTAGAGTTAGGCAGATCTAAAAATGTATGCCATGTTTACCACTTTTTGACCGATCCTGAACAAATCAGTTTTCTTATCTGACCTTAAGTTTTCTCACCATTATGGGTAATGATACTTATTGAGTAGAATGTTTGAAGGGAAAGGAGATAATATTGATATCTGTATTAGTGTAGCCTGGAACAAAGGAAGTGTTTAATAATAACTATTATAACAGAATATTTATTTTCCCCATATTTTCATTGTTACCCAGCTTTTGATATTTGCTGTTGCACACAAACTTTAAAAAAGTTCTTACCTATTTATATAAGCAGCCAACTGTTTTGGAGATTTCTTAACCTGAAAAAAAGAAAGTAAACAGTTGTGACACATTAAATTCTTTAATAGGTTTATATGTCAACTTTATGACTGATGTCAACAAAATTAAAATTCAATAGATATATTTTTGAAGTTAAAAGCTTCTTCTGTCCTAACAATCATTAGGCACAAGCTGGATGCAGTGGTGCACATCAGTAATCCCAGTGACTTGGGAGACTGAGGCAGAAGGATCATAAGTTCAAAGCCAGCCTTGGCAACTTATTAGCAAGGCCATAAGCAATTTAGCGAGACCCTGTCTGAAACTATAAAAAGGGTAGGGGATGTGGCTCAGTAGTAAAGTGCTTCTGGGTTCAATCCTTAGCACCAAAAAAAAAAAATTAGGTACAACATTGTAGTTAGGTATCCCTGACAAAGCAACACATCCATTTCCCTATTTTTCACACCACTAGTCACATATTATGCTTATAAGGGGCTTAATATGTGAGTTGAGGTTTAGTATGATTTAAAAGAAATTATATCAATACTAACAAACTTTGTAATGGTGAACAAAAGGAATCTCTGAGCTTCCTCTTTTTCTTAGAAAATATATTTTAGTTGTCGATGGACCTTTATTTTATTTATTTGTTTATATACAGTGCTAAGAATCAAACCCAGTGCCTCACCTATGCTAGGCAAGACTCTACCACTGAGCTACAACCATAGCCCTTTTATTTGTTCTTTATAGTTATACACAAGAGTAGAATGTATAATGTATTTTGACATATTATACATACATGGAGCATAACTTCCCATTCTTATGGTTGTACATGATGTGGAGTTATACTGGTCATGTACTCATATATGAATATAGGAGAGTTATGTCCAAATCTGAGCTTCCTCTAATACCAAAATATTAGAATTATAGCATATCAAAACAGTATACTTAACAAAAAGTTTTTAGAGCTTTAGGAATGTAATGGCTATACTTCAATAATTCTACTTAATTCTAGGATATTAAGCAAAATTATTACCCTCCCATTAGTTAAACAATTTAACCAGAACAATCTATAGACCTCACTATTTAAACTGACCTGCCCATTTCTTAGAAACCATGGACTTACCTCCTTCATGTTCTTATTGGTGAAATTAGAGATCTTTTTTCTAGGAAGACCAATGGAATGATCCTCAATATTATTAGAAAAGTTCCGTTTTTTAACATTGTGGGTTTCAGATGCCATAATCTCTTAAATACCTAAGGAAAATAATAGAAAATACAAAAAAGTAAAGAATATGATCATTTCTTGTTAACACATAAACATCAACAGCTTTACACTGTGTAAAAGAGGCATGTGAGTTAAACAGAAGACTATCTTATACATTTTAAAACTTTAAACAAAAAGGAAACACAAGACAGGGTATTCCAGGAAATTTTTTCTGTTCTCATTTTTTTTCAGTCACAACCAGTTGCAATAATATTATATACTTTTGCCAAAGCAATAGTCAATCTCCCCATTTCCTATATCACTAGCCATTTTGAAGAAATCAGAATTTAAGTCCGTACATTTAAATGGTATTTATAATATCCAAAGGTATAGAAACCTAAAATTTTGGAGCCCCATGATTGTAAAATAAGAAGAGAAAACCGTTTGCAACCAGAGGAACCAAAATCAGATTACATACATAAAGTTGACCCCCCAAACAAGTAGACAATTTGACTTGCCCAATGCCTAATCTTTAATTTTTTTTTCTTATATTCTTATAGCCTGTTCTCCAAAACTGTCCTTTTCTTTTGGGGGAAAAAAAAATCAAGCCTCTATTATTTCCTGAATATCCCAAAGTGGGGGAAACAGATGTTATCACTACATTTATAAAAAGAGAAAATCAGTGATTTCCCTACTTGTACATTGGTTTCACACAGGAAATTTATTTTAGGTCATATCCTGAACATAAACTCTTCCCTAATTCTTTCTTTATATATTAAAAAGCATTCACTATATGCCAGGTCCTGGAGTTAATAGGATTATACTCAGAAATCCTGTTCTAAAGAATCATTTAGGAAGTTTTTTTGAAAACACACCTTATTGAGCCCTAATTTTAAAGACTCTACTCAGCAGATCTCTGGAGCAGAGCCTAAAGCTATAATTTTTAAAAAGCTCCATGGGTATTTCTGATGCACATTCCATATTTTCAAAAAATATGCACACACATCAAATTTTGCAAATAATTTTAGGTTATTGTAAGATATCCTGCAGCTAAAATAATGAACAGCCTTCCCACCTGTATCTCTAGGTTAAGAAACCTTAAGGGTAGTTTTTTTAAAAAATAAATAAATAATTCCAATAATACCATAAGCATTCTGACAGAAAGGACCTAGACAATCAGCAAAGCTGAAATGAGAGGACAAACAACATAAAGAGAAAATAGCATGCATAGAACTGAGAGGTATAAAGGAACATGGTTTATTTGGCAATCACTTAAATAGATACATGTGGCTGGGGCTTAGGCTGGAGGCCCATTGGAGCAGAGCAAGATATGAGGCTAGAGAAATAGGCAGCAGATAGACATAAAGAGTTTCTTGCACAATGCTAGCCTTTTTTTTTTTTTTTTAATAAAAAAGGGTACTTTTGGGGCTGGGGTGGTGGCTCAGTGGTAGCGCGCTCGCCAAGCATACACGAGGCACTGGGTTCGATCCTCAGCACCAAATAAATGTAAAATAAAGATATTGTGTCCACCTAAAACTAAAAAATAAATATTAAGAAAAGGTACTTTTAAGTTAAGTATAATGGATTGAATACATATGATTACTTCTATCCTTTCCTAAAAGGCCATTAAAATAACAGTAGAGTTTTTTTTTTGTTTTTTTTTTAAAAGAGAGGGAGAGAGAGAGAAAGAGAGAGAGAGAGAGAGAGAGAGAGAGAGAGAGAGAGAGAGAGAGAGAGAATTTTAATATTTATTTTTTAGTTTTTGGTGGACACAACATCTTTGTTTGTATGTGGTGCTGAGGATCGAACCTGGGCCGAATGCATGCCAGGCCAGCGCGCTACCGCTTGAGCCACATCCCCAGCCCCATAGTAGAGGTTTTTTAAAGGCATAAAACCTATGAGGACAAAGAAAACATGAGATGAAAGCAACATTTACAAACTACAAAGCCAAAGTGGTCCTTGACTTGGCAGATCTGAGAAACCCAAATTCTAAATCTGTAAGAAAGGTGAAAAGCAGAATTCCTTAAAGCAGAATTGACAATAGAAGCAGACAGATTGAATATCTATTTAAGACACATTTGAAAAATCCAAATCTTGAATCAGCAATGAGGAAAGGTGAAAAGCAGAACCTCTCAAAGGGTTAGGAATTGGCAATATCTACTCAAGAAGTGGAGAAAAAGGTAACCCTAAAAAAAGTAGATGGATTGAATATTTAATGCATAGTTAGTTTCCTTCTCCATTCTAGAAAAAGACTAGAGTTTTATTCTACAGAAAATGTAAAACAGAGTCCTTGGGATGGGAAACACCAAGCATAAATATGGTTAAGAGGAACATATTCTGAATCAGAGGAATCAAGTAAAAGTTTACATGCTAAATGATCAATCATTTCACCTTCTTTCTATCACTGAAAAAAAAAGAGGGCAGAAGATGCTTTGGGAACTCTGACCAGCCCTACAGGAATGAACACACACACACACACACACTAAAAAAATTGTCATTATGGTGATCAGAGCTCCCAAAGAACTGCTCTACATCTTGATTATGGTGGTTGTTACCTGTGAAAATTAATAGAACCATACACTAAAGGAAGTAATTTTTTCTTTTCTTCTCTCTCTCTCCTTTTCTTTCTTTCTTCTTCTTCTTTTTTTTTTTTTTTTTTTTTGGTGGCTCTGGAGATTGAAACCAAGGATGCTCTACCTCTGAGCCTTAGACCCTACAGCTCAGTGTAATTTTATTTTGAGACAGGGCCTCATGAAGTTGCCTCTGCTGGTTTCATACAAGTGATCCTCCTGCCCTAGACTCCTGAGTTGCTGGAATTTCAGGTCTGTGCCACTTCCTGTAGGGGTGAATTCCAGGATGAATTTTTATTTTGCATAAATTATACTTCAATAAACCTGACTTTAGAAACCCCTTCAAGAGAGAATATGAAAATATATCCATGAGATGGAAATGAGAAAAAACAAACCAACAAAATGATTGTTGGGAAATTAAAAACAATAATATAGTAGAAAAACTCAACAGAAGATGGAAGAGAAAGCCAAGGATCTCTCCTAGAACATAGGGCAAAAAGATTAAAAACAAACAAAATCAGAAGTTGGGTTTTAGGGATCCAATAAAGGAATATGATAAAGAGTAGAGAAAAAACAATGAGAAATTTTAAAAGAAAACTGTACAAGTTTGAGTGACATGAATTTCCCAATAAAAAAGGCACACTTTGAGTCATATAATGGAAGAAAAGGCACATCACTGTCAAATTTCAGAGCACCAGAAAAAGGTACAGAAGGTGAAAATCTATAACAAAATGAAAAATATGCCCTCAAATTCAAACCTGTTCATACATAAATGATAAAGATAAGGAGCATTGACTAAAATTCTCAGGCAACTTAAAATTTTACATATAGCCAAATTATCAATCAAATCTGAGGGATGAAAGAACATATCTGCAGATATTCAAAGCTGGAGAAAAAAAATTCTTCCCAGTAAGCAATAAAGGGTAGGGGACAACAACAAGACATGGAGGTATAACAGGAGAGATGGAATCGACTTCCCAGGACAATCGTAAAGGAAGATCTCAAGACAAAAAGGTTGTTCACCAGGAGTAGAGGACAACCAGTCTATATCAGAGCAGGTTAGGATTAGGAGAGTAGTCGCCACAAAACAACCATCATTAGAGATGGAGACAACTGGGAAAAGTCAAAAGAAAGCAGTACATATTTTTCAAGTGCTAAAAGAAAAAAAATGCAATCCAGAATTCTGTAGGCAGAGAAAATATTCTTCAGGAATGAAGGAGAAACCAAAGCACTCTAAGATGAAAGAAAATTAAGATGACTTCTCACCAGCAGACCGACCTTAAAAGAATGGTTAAAAGAAGTTCTATTTAGTTGAATAAAAACAAAAAGGAAATGATAAAATAATAAATATTAGAACATCAAGGAGGTAGAAAGAAAATGGTAACTGAAAAAATACAGGTAAATGCAACAGACTTCGGTTCTCAAGTTTTCTAAATTACTTTTGATGGCTGAAACAAAATTTATATGATGTGGTTCACAACATAAGCAGATAAAGTATTTAAGACAATATGGTGGAAGGAAAAAGGGACACTTTGCTCAAACTAGTAAAAGGACAAACACCAGTAAATTGTGTTAAGATATGCATACATAAGGTACTATCTTATGAATTAATTGTATGATGTCTATAAGAAATTCACTTCAAATATGATTTAAACAGAAAGTAAAAGGGAAGAAAAAAATGTATAGTGTAAATGTGAACTTCCAAAAGCAGAAGTGGCTATATTAATATCACATAAATATGTTAGAGAAAAGAAAATTACCAGAGACATAGAAAAAACTTATCGAATGACAAAAGGGCTTATCCATCAAGCAAGCATAGCAATGTTACATGTGCACCAAATAACGCAGGTGAAATATACATGAAACAAAAACAGGGCTGAAAGGAGAAAGAGACAAATTCACAATACTTGAGGACTTCAATGTCCCCTCTCACCAACTAATAGAACAACTGAAGAGAAATTCTCATCACATAAACCAACAGGATCACATCAACATTTATAGAATATTCCACCCAATATATACACATTATTTTCAAATGTGATAGGACAAATAAAATAGACTATATCCTGAGCTTTAAAACAAACCATAATAAATTTATTTCTGTGGAACATAGCTAAAATAGTTCTGAGGGAAATTATAGGACTAAAATGGATATAAGAGGAAATATCTGAAATCAATAATCTAGGCTCTTACCTAAAGAACCTTGAAAAAAGAAGGGCAAAAGAACCATAGGCAAGCAGAAGGAAGGACACAGTAGGGAACAGAAATCAATAAAAGTGAAGAAAAATAATCAATGAAACATAGTTGGTTCATTGAAAAAAAAAAAAAAAAGAAAACAAAAAAAAAACTAGCAAACCTCCAGGGAGACTGACAAAGAAAAGTAAGAGATATGAATTCCCAGTGTCAGGAATGGACAAAAGATGTTACTACAGGCTCTACAAATATTGAAAGGCAGTAAGAAAACACTAACTAGTCTACAA